ATGTTTACCTGACATTAGATAATAAGTACAATCCTTAAATGATATTATAGAAATTTTTTTTTCTTTACTTGTAATATTTATACAGTAAAATGTTAGAATTCTCAGTTGGTATTTCGATGGAAATGAATGTATAATATGTGGAGTAGAAGTAGTATAAATTTGCTGAGGAGGATACATGTCTCTAGGTAAATAACAAGTCATCTGGTAGCAGCAGAGTTACAAGGGGATGATGAGTGCAAATGCTTATGCTACATCTATCCATTTTACATTTCCAGCTTAAACATCACATTATTATAATTGTTCTCGTCATTATCTTAGATGATAAATGTATAAGTATATACATGTATCAGTATATAAATGTATAAGTATATACATTTATATGTATAATATTCCAAGTATATGAAATAAAATAAAATAAAACAAAACAAAAAAGTGAATCAGCAAACAGATTTGATAAAAACTGTTGCAGCTGACCTATTTTATTTTTATGTAAAAATTGTTGGTAAAGAAAAAAAACAAGGCATATATTCAAAGTCATAAAAATTTTTAAACTATTTTCCTATACGTAAAAAAGTTAACGATGTATATATGTATGCACATAAAAAATATATACAACAAGCACCGAACGACTTTGACCTTCTGGAATATTGTAGGAGAGAAAGAAAAAGAAGAGAAAAGAAGGTGAAAGAACTTTATCGGAGAATGGATACGCGCACATTCATTTTTTCTTTTTATTCCTACTAGATATATACATATATATATATATATATATATATATATATATATATATATGTATATATATACTGGGAGAGGCCGACGGTATCGTCGCTGTCTGACAACTGTTATACTTTTTTTTTATCCTTTTTTTTCTTCGCTCATTGTATTGTAACCAGCCAATCCGTCGAATAACGTTTGGCGAGTGTAAAAACGCAAACCGAGTCAATAGTACACTAAAAAAAAAAATAAAACAAAATGTAAGTAACGAGAAAAATGCGGCCATTCGGTCTCGCCAATCATTTTTCTTTCTACACACTTTTTTTCTATACTACCATTCTTTTTTCTTTTATTATTATTTATGTCTCCATACATTATCCTCAATTCAAGTTCAAGGATAATGCAATACAATCACACCGAGAATTAAATTATGCGTGTACATTTAAAAAAAAAAGTAAATAAATAAATTTTAATGGTAAATTATTGAGTAATAAAGTTGATAACTATTTTACATAATGTATATACTTATATATTGAGTATACGATATTACGACTCATTAAACGACAATGATTTTATTACTCTCATAATGCAAATCCATTACTGGTCGTTGGTGGATATATAATTGCCGTGTTACGATCGATCAAAGACACTTTTGGAAGCCCGAGGAAGAGTATAAATAGGATCGTTTGGCACCAAAATTTCTTGAGTGGGTGAAATAGGTGCTCGTACTTCTGGCTCATCTTCTGGAGCAGTCCTCTGAGCTGCTACAGGTCCACCTTCGAACATCAATGTGATTGCATGCTCGACATTGCCGTCAGCAATTGTAAGATACTGGATAGCAGTGTCTTCGGTCTCTCCTGAAATTGTTAAGCATATTAATTTTTTTAGAGAAAATAGTTGAGAAATAAAATATCGTAGTCATGATGAGTGAGAGAATTTATTTTTTTAAACGCTTACCTGTGACTTCTATAAATTTTTCTATTAATTCACGGTCCATTGTTTGAGTTTTATTGTTATTTATGAGTTATCAATTACGTTTTTTGCAATGTAATTGCGACAGTTATTTTATTGATGTTAAGGTGCATTGACTACGATACTATGCTTTAAAGTACACCAAGGGAAACAAACAGCCTCAAACTCTAAACAGGACTCTACATACTTATATACATATACATAGTGTCAGAAATGTACATTTGACACAGAACACACAGAACACACATAATACACACATATTCGAGGTTATATGTATAGAGAGAAAGAAAGAAAAAATATTTTTTACCTTTTTTTAATTAGTTAAAATACTCACTACTTGGAGCGCTACCTCAAAAGTTGTGACTATTTCATGTCGATAAATTATCATCAGTATTTTGCTTGTAAGAGAAAGAGCGGTTTACACTCTTAAATATTATTTAATTTTCTTTCATTAATTAAATTAAAACTAAAAAAATATTTTTTAAAAATTAAATACATTTATAGTTTTTCAAATCTTCTATATTTGAAATTTTTCTTTTTATTTTTTTTTTGTAATAACTTCTTTAATACGAAAAATTAAAAAAATTCTCAAATTTTTCCTAATTACATTTTCATCATTTTATGATGATAAGTAGGTACTAAAACCAACGGAGATTAAAAATTTTTTTTTATTTTTGTCGCTAACTTTTTATATTTTTATAACAAATCAATGATTAAAAAAAAATTTTTTTTTTTTAATTTGCTCTTGTAATTTTTTTTAATCTCTAAATAAGGAATTTTTTTATTAAAATTTTTTCATAATAATTTCGTTGTTTTTTTCTTTGTATTTTTTTTGTAATAACTCATTTAATATTAAATAATATTATATCTTATATAAGAAAAATCTTAAAAATTGTCAGATGTCTGCTAATTTTATTTTCATTTTATTATCATGGTTTAAGTACACGCACTTTTGTCTCTTTCACCTTCTATTGAACAAACGGATGTATCTATATCATACTGATATGCAACAAATAGAATCTTAAAACGCATTTTATGCATAAACAAATGAGAATTTTCAAAAAAAGCGCTTCGCTCTTCTGTAGATAATTTAATTACAATAAATTTTATTTTATAGATCAGCAAAAGACGTTTGAACGTACACAAAATTCTACGTATCGATCAATCTCGAATCGAAGAAAGAGTCTCGATGTGTCTGACTTTGACGTGAGTTATCAGAATGCGTCATTTAATTAATTTAATTTGATATAATAAAGTAAAATTATTTTTATAAATGACTTTTTGTTAAAATAAACACTTTTAGTAACAAACTCTATCAATCAAAGGAAAAGTTTGATAATACAACAATTCGTGTTTCTTGATACTCTTTATCTTAAAAACTAAGAATTAGTATAGTTACGAAATGAAAGCTTATAAAGTGATAGATAAAGGTATTGAACTTTCTCAAAAAATAAAAGGAAACTAAATAAGAATCGATTCTACATTTTTAGATGAAAAATATTCTTAAACTAATGAAAACAAGTGTACGCTTAAAGATGTTCTTCCAAGTGTCAAATTGTCATCTTGATCATTTGTTATTCAAGATTTACCATGGAGTCTAGTGATGAATCAAGATTATGACAATACTTATATCTTCGTTACACTTTCAAGTGAAGAAAATAATTCAAATAAGTAGACTTGCGTGAGATTTACGTGAAATTTATCCTTATACCTCACGGAACGCGAATGTAATGTAATGTAATGGTTTATTAATTTAGCATTAGCTATTTTACAACAATCTTAGAATTAATATACATTTTTCCATTTTTCAACTATGCAGAATACTTTATAATTTATCATAACAATCAATATTATCTTTGACATATGTATAACATCAATTTAATTTTAAATATTTTCAATCGACTTTCATGAATCAATTCATTATTTAAACTATTAAATCATTGAAACTCTTTATAGTCAATAGATTTTTCAGCTGTGTGAGTCCTAGTATGTGCAATTTTTAATATATTTTGATTTCTAGTGTTGTAAATATTATTATTTGAACTTATCATGTTATTTAGGTAATTAGGATGGAGTCTATTTTTCATTTTAAAAACAAAGATACAAGTATTATAAAATATTCTTTGTCGGATTGATAACCAACCTAAAGTCTCCAACATTTTTGAAATTCTCGTGTACTTGTGTGCTTGTGTACGAATCATGAACCTCTTAAGTTAAGGATCAATACATCTTCTGGATATATAAGAAGCTATTGATATTTAATAAATTTTCACGACTATAAAAATCTATGAAGTGAAGTTTAAGTCTATTATTAAATATGTTTTTTAATTTTATAGCTAAATAAATTTAAATTGTTGCAACATAAAAATTTTTTTTTTATTGGTGTCAAACATTATAGAATACCATAAAACTCGGGACGTCCCGAGAGTTGCCAGACAGTTGGCAGCTCCAGTCAATACAATTCAGATAAATAGAGAATACTTGAAAAGTTTTTGCCTCATAAGAATAAAAAAATAAGATTACCAACATAATTCATATTATTTATTAAAATTATTTCTATCGTATAAGATATTATTTTATAAAATATTAATGAAATGTACCGACTTAAACTTTTGAATTTGATTTACTAGAGGTCGCGATATGGCGCGTTTTATGAACGATTTGAATTACCTCGGCACATATGTAGATGCATATTATCAAATCCGCGTGGAATAATGGACAAGACACGGTATCAAAAGAGATAGCTCCAACATACACTTATACATTGCACCGAGAACGAATGATGAGTGTGAAAGAGTGTATGGAGTATGGACAGGAGTAAAGAGGAGCAAATGTGAGGAAAGGGATCCGCATCGTGTGAGAACTGGTTTTGAACTGTCTCTGTATTAAAACTCCTCTCTCTATACGTACATATATCTGTGTCGTGGCCGCGGATACCGCTGGTTTTGTGGTGGCTGTCAGTTAGAGTCACGACTACGAACATATTTTCTCTACCAGGCACAAGCAGTTACACGCCACATGGCAATGGCGTACGACGTGTCACTATCAACCGTGTTGTTGAACGTCCGTTCATCGTTCTCCGAAAAAAAAATCACCTCCGATCCTCATCATTTTATCCGTCATCAAACACTGTGTCACCGACAATCGTAACTTGCAGTTTTAAACTATTCCCGCTCAGCGACATCCTTACAAATGTCACCGCAGATTTGAAATATTTTTTTCAATTGCTATTTTTTTATTTAATTAGAAAAATTCTATACCAGGATACGTAGACAATATAACCGGTTGTGAGAATATTTTTAACTATCTGCAATATGGCGTCAACCGATTTGTCGTCCGGTAAATAAAAATAGTTACTTATTTAATACTTTTCCATAATTTTGATTATTCAAAAAAAGTTTTATTACTTTTTCAATTGTATATAACTTTTTTTTTATAATTATCAACCACCGAAACATGATACTGAAAATAGCAGACAATATTTTTAAAACAAAGTAATAATTTGAAATATTATTATTTAATTATTTTTAAATTAATATGCAATGTGTTTGTGAAAGTACTAAAATTCTGTTTTCAGTTACTTTTAATATCGCAAATTAAATACAAATTTTTTGGAGTTAAAAAATTTTTTAATTGTTCAATTCAATGAAAGTATTAATGAAATAACATACTTGTGTAACTGTATGCTCAAATAACATATTTAGTTATCCATAGTAATAAATAATTATTTAAAAACTACAGTTATTTGTAGATAGTCATGATATTAAAGTTAGCCGACGTTTTTAATTTTTTGATTTTTTATTAATAATTAAATTAGAACAAAAAAATATTTTTAAAAAATTGCACTTATAGTTTTTCAAGTTTTTAATAAATGACAATTTTTTTTCTTTTTTTTTGTAGTAATTTTTTCAATAAAAAAATTCTTTTTAATTTTTAAATGTCGGCTAACTTAATTTTCATAGATAGTCATGCTATTAACGATTTTATGGAGAGTTCGATGCCCAGCATATCAAAATTACCTATTTCAATATTTTAAGTGCCAGATAATATATTTTAATAAATTTTTCAAAGGACTGTATTTAACTCATAACAAAAAAAAATAATTAAACAAAAAGTGTAATGTTTCCACTTGGTTACATACACATATATTAACTCAAACAATCTACTAGAAGGTAATGTTTTTATAAAATTCATTCCCAGGCTCAATCCCACCTTTCTACCGTGAAATTTATGAGAAGATATGTTCACCTACCAGTGGAAATGTCGAACGCGAAGTCTTCAAATCATTACTAGTTAAATCACAATTGAGCAGTCCTATTTTGAGCCAGGTATGTATTTTTTTGTTATCTTCCCAATCATAATCAATTATTATTTATCTTCCTTATTGCACAACTTTTAATCATGAACGAGAAAACGATAATATTATTTCATAACATGTTTTTCTTCTTACTAGTGCTATTAATATTTAAACATTACAAACACAATTTTAATTTTAATTATAATGATGACAATAAAAAGTAACTCACTTTTTTTTCGTGGTAAATTGTTATCATTCAAATAAAATTGATCATAAGATCTCTCTTGAGAATTAACTATCAGACGAATTACTGTTATGTATATACGGTATGACGGTATTATCAGCTTAACTACACGCCTGTTTAATGATACATCAATCCTTGACGCCTACTGTTTTCCTTTTTTTAAATAATATAAATTTATTTATTTATTTTTACACTTACTGTTGTTAATAATTAAACATTCATTTTATAAATTAAATTAATACTTATTTCTTTGGAATTGTTATTAAAATCATTGTTTATTAATTTTGTAATATTGATGTTATAAAACAAAATTTGAGTGTTGAAATATTTAAAGTATTATGGACAAAAAATGATTTGTGTGCGAGAAAAATAAAAAATTTATTGGACTGAATAAAAACATTTGTGATTCATAAAATTATTTTTAGTGAAAATTTTAATTTATTAGAAATTTTTTTATTACATTAAACGAATTTCTGAACTAAAAATAATTGATAATCGGTAATAATAATTCAAATAAATTGAGTCGTTTATTGTGATTTATTAAAAATTTTATCAACGCAAAAATTTTTTCTATTGTTAAAAATATCAAAATAATAAAAATGTTAAATTATAAAATTAAAGGAAGTTGTTAAAACTTTGACAGTTGCAGTTTTAAAACGGAAACTAGAAGTTTATGAAATTACATAAAAATTTTTATTGTTTATAATTGCCAAAATATATACCTACAAGGATGAAAAGAATAAGTGACCGTTTATTCTTAAATATTTTAATTTGTAAATTACAAAGTAAATGTAGTACATACAAATACAAAAAAATAAAAGATATTGAATATTAATAAGATAAAACGGATATAATGACACATGGATATTTTTCCGTAATGATCTCAGCGTATAAATAAGTTAGTAATAAAAAAAATTTTTATACAGAATGACTTCCTTTTAACGAGAGATATAATCATCTACAAAGTTACGAATTAATAATTTATCTGCAAGTTACAATTTTTTAAATCAATTAAAATTAAATTAGTTAATAAATAATTATAAAAAAAATACGTAAAGCTAACGTGGAATTTTTTCCCCCTTTAACTTTTGACGATTGAGGTTTAATGACACTCGATTAGCTTGATGTAGACTATATTGTTAACAACCGTGGTGATATGTCATGCATCAATGAAATCTTTTCTATTCATACAGACATAAATGTATATGGATAAATAAAATGATATGTAAGTTAAAAATAAAATTTATATAAGAAATTAATTATTATTTTCATAGTTTAATCTGCAATTATAAGTTTAGATAAGATTAACCCAGACTTACTAATGTACATACACTGAGAGACAGTTTTATTAAATACTAATAAACGCTTATTTGTATTTAGTAAAATACGTATTTGGCTCATGTGCAAATAAAAAATTTATTTATTAAATACAAATAAAATTTTTATTTGGACCAGTTTTGAAATTTTATTAGTATTTAATACGCGTTTATTAGTATATAATACGTTTTTATTTATATACACAAAATGGGCTCGTTCAGGTTTACTATGTTCTGAGCAGGGCTAGGTTTATCTTACAATAAGTTAGTTAATGTTGGACATATTGTATTGGCTTTCGCTGTATGAAGCTTAAAACGTACTATACATTTTCTGTACTATAGATGTGAAAAACAAAAGTAAATAAATGTATACTTCACTTTTTTTTGTTTATACCGCGAAAAAACAAATATAAAAAAATTAATAAATAAAAAAAAATGGATAATTTTATGGTAACCTGCAAGTATAACTGGAGTAACCATTGTTATGTAATTACAGACACCAAGGGTTTTCATGAAAAAATCAATTTTAATAATTTCTTATTTTTAAAAAATAATTTATCTCACGTTTTCAATTTCTGCAGACTCCTCAGCATTTGGCCACACAATAAATTGTGGAAGCAAATAATTTGATATAATAATTATTATTTCTTTAAATATTAAATGTCCAGTGCTTTTAGAAAAATTAAACCTATCAGCTATAGAACGGAAACTTTCCGGAGTAGCTAGAACTCACAAGGTCATTAGAATTTTTTTTTTCTAATAGTATTGCATTATTAGGACGGCGGATATATTGCTCAATAATATTACTCAGTCCCTGAAAGTTTATTTACGGTTATGTGAAGCACAAAATTCCAATCTCATCATTAAAATATGTTGATTGAAATTTACTTCAAAAACTTCTCGCGACATCCGAAAATAAGACTTAAACTGGCTCATCATCATACTGTGGAATCATTTCTTCATAAAAATTTAGGATTCTAGCTGGAGCATCACCACGTACATCTAATTCGGGATCTCCATTCAAATCATCATCTAATAAAATAAAATCATCCATTATCTCACCATTAACTAATCCTGAAAAGAAAAATAAGTTAAAATTCTAAAAAATTAAATGTGTAAAAATTTTTTTAAAATTAGCAAAAAATTGCTGAAATCCATTTCGGAGATTTTGCTCTACTTGGTCGAATAAAATTTTATCAGCTATTAAATGTTCTAAAATATTATCCATTTTTTGAAAACACGAAGGTTAATTATATTTTTTATAAATAAAATTTGATTATTAATAATCCCGACGAAAAATTTAAACACTTAATTTTTTGTAAACAAGGTTATAAATACAAAAATAAAGTTTATTTAATGTATACTTTGTTTCTTTTAGTCAGGAAAAGTTAGCCTGTCCATGAAAAAATTATCTATATTTATTTCTAAGACACTTTCAGCTTTATTCAGTTGTCAGCCATTTTATTCTATAGGATATGCCAAGATCTTAGCATAACTTAGTAAATCTGAACGAGCCCAATAACTTAGTTTTTTAGTAATCAATGAATAATAAGATAAAACGTCATAATCGGTTTTGTTTTGTTAATAAATGGTTGTCAAAAAATTTTATAATAAATCTATCTATTATCACCAAATAATGTTAAACTATTGATGATTATCCATAGTTTCAAATTAAAAAATGTAAATCAGGAAATGAAATTTTATAATGAAAATACATAGAAATTTTTTTTTAATTTTAAAAGGTAAATATTTATGAAAATGAAGTTAACTGACAATTCAAAATTTTTATGAATTTTTTATCGGAAAAATTTCAATTAAACAAGTAAAAAAAAATATCATATGTTAAAAACTTAAAAAACTATAAGTGCAATTTCTTATAAATATCTTTTTAGTTGTAATTTAATTAAAAAAAAAAAA